ATATAAATTATATTTTAGATTTACAATAAATAATTTATATTGTAGAACAAGATTTATTTTTATTAATTGATAATTTATTTTAAAATATTAAAATTTAATTTATAAATAATTATGATAAATAAAAATTAAACTAAATTAGATAAAAGTTAAAATAATTTCTAAAAACTATTTCGTCAAAGAAAATTATATATAAAAAAAAGTTTTTACAGAAAACAATTGTTTATATTTTATGTATGTGGGTTGATTTTAGTCATACACAAGTTAAATGCTTATTATACAAAACTATAAAAAAAATATATATATATATAAATAAATATTATATTTATAATTTATATGAATATATATTTTTAAACTTATAAATTATAGTTTAGATTTATGATAAAACATGTATATCGTAATAAAAGATTATTTTTATTTATTGATAATTTATTTTAAAAAATATTAAAATTTAATTTATAAATAATTATAGTAGATAAAAATTAAATTAGATAAAAAGTTTCTAAAACTTCTCTGATAAAAAAAAAGTCTCTAAATAAAACTCCCGGACAATAATTTTTATTTATATAATAAATATTATAAATAAGTTAAAATACTAATATTAATGAATGATGAGAGTAATATAGAATATACCATTAATTTAACCGTAAACAAATTATTCAAGTACAGTTGAAAATTATATGAGTAATTTTTTTATTCCATTAGATAAGTAATTTTTAAAATATTAAAAATTAAAAACTTCTCTTTATATTAATATATTTTACTAATATTAATGGATTAATTTTATGAATTTTTAGATACTTGAGTGATTATATAACATAATTTCTAATACTTTAGGAATTATTTATATAATTATTTATGTGAAGCATTAATATTTTAAGGAGCAAATTGATGACTTATATTTTGATTTAATGGCCAATGGTATTTCTCAATTAGTTGATTAAGATGCATAAATATCTTTAGTACTAAGTTTGATTTTCATATAGATTGAAAAAATATACTTTCAACTAATAAAAATCTAAGTTAGTCGATCAAACCATTTATCGAATGAGTATTTAATAAAATAATATATGCATACATCTATAATAATATATAATGAAAATTTATTAGAGTCCATCTAATGGTGAAAGGATTTAGATAATATATATGTATAAGGTCCTAAATTATAATTCTGATATTGTTATTGTAAATTCAATAGATAAAAAAAGAATGACAATAGATAAAGAGAATATTATTTTCGGATTTTCACTTTTCTTAAAATATTTTTATCCTTGTATACCGTTATTCTCAATCTCTCATTTACCTATCGATATATTTATTTGTTATCTCTATACTTCCTTCTTTTATAATTGTAACACTACTTTAAATAAAATTACTTTAATGTATAAATATAAAAACTTAAATTGAGGTGCCTCCAAAGTTACGAGGAGATTAGCCACTACTATCGGCTGTGGATACTCTAAGAATGAAAAAAAAATTAAATTAAATCTACTTTCTTTTTATTATAATACATGTATTAAATTGAAATTATTTTCTTAATTTATTTTTATTTTTTACATTTTTCTATTGACATTTGCGCACTCCCATGTGCGAATCCGCAGCTTCAATTTTCATCTGATTCTCCCTCATTTTAAGTTGTTTTGAACTGCTCTTGATGTTTTGTTTGTTTCATTTGACTATGGTTTTTAAAAACTTTTCTGGGTAGATATGCTTTCACATTGTTCTGGTTTGTGGTTTTTGATTTATGCATATAAGGTGTGTTCGAGATTTTGTGCGAATGAATTGGGGTTACATTGGTATTTGGTGGTGGTTTTATTGATCTTATTGTGGTTAGTTGGAGTTTTTGGGGATGAATGAGATTTGTGCTTAGTTGAGGGCTTAGTTTACGTGGTTTTTTGGGGTTGTCTTGTGGTTGAAAATTTGTGTTTTGGTGCTATTTTTTGGTACTGATGTGGGGGGTGATTTGGGGTACTCAAGGTTGGTGGTGATTGGGTTGGTTTGGAAGTTGATTGGGGTTGATTTGGGCTATTTTTGGGTTGGATAGGTGGCTGTGTTTGGGGGTGTTTTTGGTGGCTTTGTGGTGCTTAATTGGGAACTATATGGGGATTTATGGTGCTTATTTTGGAGCTGGTTTGAGTGTTGGAGTTGGTGCTTAATTTGGGGTTAGTTTGGATGGTTACTTTGGTAATTTTAATTGATTTGGCTCATTGTCAAGTTTGTTACAAACTAGTTGACAATGTAAATTATCTTGATGAGTATTTAAATAAACTCATAAAATATTTAAGGTTTATTTAATTATATTATAATTTAGAAAATGTAAGTTAAAAAATAGTAAGTTATTGTATTAGAAATTTTTTTAAAAATTATATAGGCACCCATAAACTCAAAATAAATTTTGGATTTATTTAATAGCATTATAATTTAGAAATATTTGTCAAATTCTTATACTTAGAAATATATGGATATTTATAAAGTAAGATTTTTTTTAGGTACCCTTGCACAATTATTATATATTAACTTAGATATATTTTAGGCACCCATACTCAGTAATAAATTTAGATAATTGAGATATAAATTAAAAAATTGAATTATGTTTTAAATTTAAAATTATTAAAAAAAATTAGCAATAGTGTATAAGTATATTTATAAATTTTTATGATTAATGATATTAATAAGTTATGTGTATTTAATTATATGATTTATACTATTGTGTTTATTTAATTATATGTTTTAATGATATTGAAGAATGTGTGTGTCAATGTATTAAAACATTACATTTAACACTCTTACTTTGACGAGTGTTGACTATTTGTCAATGACGGGTATTTAACTTAAACATTCTATGTTGCTAGTAGGGATGGCAATGGGGCTCCATGGGGGCGGGTAATAGTAAACCCGTCCCCGCCCTGCTGAATGAAAATTGGCCATGTACCCACCCCATATTCACGCGGATATCCATTAAACAGGTATTCATGAATTTCTTAAATAGTCACGGATATCCAATGATATTTATAAATTTTTTAAGAAATTAAAAAAATTATATTATAAATAATTTTAAGTTTATATTTAATGTCATTGAAATATTAAAAATAAAAATTCAATGTTAATTTTGAACTTGTATTTAATGTTAATTTTGTTGAAATAATAATAAAAATGCAAGATAATCAATAATTTAAAATACATCAATCTCATAAGTAAGTTAGAGTCTCATCACAAAGCTACAATAATTCAATCTCATAATTCCAAACAAAAGTAAACAACTTAAAATACATAAATCTTATTGGTCCAATCAAAGCTAGAAAATTAATCAAATTACATCCAACATAATTCTATAACATGCTTAACACATGTTGGCAACTTCATCAACCTCACTTTTGTAAGAAAATAAGATGAGAGAGTGTAGTTTTAGGGTTATGTGGTACAAGGATAATTAGAATATTTAAGAAATATTATTAAACGGGTATGGATATCATAATACCCGCCCCCGCCCCGTTTATAAATGGGTAAAAAATTATTCGTCCCCATTATCCGCGGGTACCCAATTAGCCTATCCATTTATTATCCGTAGCGGATTTTACCCGCAAATATCCGCGAGTACGGGTATTTTTGTCATCCCTAGTTGCCAGTCTATGATAAGTCCAAAATCGACATAAAATATCTAAAATATTTGGCAAAAGTCACATATTCGACGGCGGACAAAGTGATTGTAAAATTAAAATGATTAATATTCTATTGTATCATGAATGGATTAGTGTCATCTTAATAAATAAAAATGTACAAAATCAAATAGTAAAATAAAAAAGCCACATACACACACTAAAAATCAAATATTACTAAATTTGTTCCGGTCGTCTTGTTAGCATATAAAATAATTTTTTTCTATTCAATATTTTGTTTATAATTCTTTAAAATTATTAACAAATTCGCAAAAGATTTTCTTTAATTGAAAAAAAAAAGCTAAGGAAATAAGATTTCCAAATATTTAATGTAATGATATTTACCAAAAACAACAACAAAAAAATCAAACAAATTTGAATAAGAAAAAAAAATCTTGTTATAAAATCAAGATTTTATTCCAATAAATTTTTAAGAATTTCGATTTCAATCTCATTTCCTCCCACATTCCTCTTTTGTTGACTTTATTGCCTTCATGGAATATGAGCGAAAAACCATTACCACTAAGTTTGTCAAATCTGAGTTCTTTCCTAAAGTTGTTCGTGTTTCATATGTTGATCATAGCACCACAGACTCATCCAGCGATGAAG